TCTGACAGAATCACCAGTGAATTGTCGATAGATCTGACAGAATCACCAGTGAATTGTCGATAATTCGGACAGAATCACCAGTTAATTGTGGGTAATTCTGACAGAACCACCAGTGAATTGTGGGTAATTCTGACAGAACCACCAGTGAATTGTGGGTAATTCTGACAGAACCACCAGTGAATTGTTGGTAATTCTGACAGAACCAAGCGCAATTGTGAGTGGATCAGACAAAACTTGACTGGAATTTTGGGATGGATGAGGGAATGCATGGAGTGATTAATAAATCACAGGTAACGTATTTTCATCTACACATATAAAAACAAAAGCTATGTAATACATATTGGAAATTGATACTCATATTTAATCGAGCATCGTAAAGAGATCAAATGCATTGGTTCTGGCAAAATCTACCATACTGTGTAATATGCAAATTCAGATCAGTTTTTGAACATCAAGTGCTTGCAATTTTCTATTTTTATTTATTGTGAATTTACCCCCCCCCCCCGAAAGTACCAGGATGTGTGACCTTTTGGGGGAGGGGTGATGCATAAGCCAACTGTAAGCTAGCTAAAGGTGCTTTGAAATGATGTTTACCCTTTTCACCACCAGTTCCCTCTTTTCATCACAATTTCACAAAATAGTCTGCAAAATTTAAAGTTTGCAATTTCATTCACAAGATTGGGGCAAAAATAACCAAATTTTTTGAATAACAACTGAAAATTGACACAAATTTTGTCTGTTGGCTCCAAAATTAGGGTTCATTTCCAGAAATATTGAAAAATATAAACATTACAAAAAAGTGCTAAATATTTTGGGCAAGGAAGTCTGGTGGTGCAAAGCTTAATTAATTGCTAACTTTGCAAGATTATAAAATTTGTCAAGGACAAAGAGCATGCACACACATGCTTTTCACACTTGAAATCAACACTTTCTAGCAATAGAGTACCCGGTACACGTATCATTAATTTTATAATTATCCGGTACCCATACACGTAATGCAACCGGATACATCATACATTGTGCAACCGCAATTGCAATTTCTCTCTCCCTTTTTTGAGTGAAATCAGATACTTGCATTTTCTGATAGACTCTTCAAATCCTACAATTCCCATGAGAACCTCAGGTGTGCTCGGATTTCTGACTGCAATTCAATTTAGAGAATGTATACGCATGAATCACAATGGAGAGACATCAAACAAACTATAAATGCGTTATGTCAGAACTATTTTCAGTGAACTTCAGTGTTTGTGTAGAATAAAATGAATTCGAGTCTAAAATGGCTCTCTTGAACAAAACAACGCAAGTGTTTAGGTAAGCTATGCTATTCAATCACTTCGAAATAGTATGAATAGAAAGTAGGATAATTAGCTCTCATGGGTCATAATCTAAGGACGTGATAGGCGGCGAGTACAGTGAACATGGCTCCTCAAATGACATATATTGGGAGCTATAATTCTACTGTTGGGATATGCACTAAAAACTAAGTACCACGATGTATATAGGGCATCATTTGTAAGAGTACCGGTAACAAAAATATTTATGTTTTTGCTCACTTGTGAATGAGTTCAAAAGAATAAACATGCAAGGCTTTCCTTTTTAATTGTTGTTTTTTTTCAGAATTTTAGAAAATACAAAAATAAAATTTCAATAAGTTTATAAAATATGAAATTTAATGATAATTTCACAATAAAAGTGAAAAGCGACAAACAAAATTGATCATGAATAACCCCGGTAGTATCGATAGTTTGAGACGCAGATGTGTGAGGCAAAACATATGTAGCAAAACTTGCACTAGGCACTGTCTGCATCGAAAAACTAAACTGAATTGATTTTTTTGGTAATTATTTGAATAGCTTATTTTCTTTCACTGTTATTCCTTGTTTTTGTAATTGTTTTTTTTTTTGCTTTGTGACAACCAGAAAAAAAAAAGACAAAAAAAACCTTGTATTTAATTAAGGTAATATTAGTGATTCATACTTCAAATAATTGGATAAATTACACGTATCTGTTGTGACAATAATATGACAAAATTGAAGTTGTACATATTTTGCATTAGGTTTATTCAAAGATAACTGAAATAAAATGACGAACCGCAAGTAATACTACTACAGTAATACTACATTTTTTGTACTATATTTAATCCAAAAACCTGATTTAGTATGGTTCCAGTAAAAACATTCAAAGCTGGCTATTGGCTAGTTTTTTGCAGGCAATTTTTTAATTTTTAAAGAATTATTGTCATTAATAATTACCTATGTTTCTAATATCAGACATATTTAGCAAGATTATTCTGCATAATTTATATACGTGGCAGTTTTGAAAGCAAACTAAGCTAGTAGTTAAATGTCAAGTTATGCTCAGAATGTACAGACCAATCAAATAACATTATTCAAATCCACATGCCAATATCAGATGAATTTCAAGGCCAATACTTGAGATAATTCTAGGGTGGGGGATGGCGGCAATTTGTCTGAAGTTTTGCAATCAAATTATTTTGTCTCTACGGTATTATTTTTTATATACAACAAGATAATTGTGAATAACTATTCCTGCGTATGATCACTGTCAACATTCCTTTTTTGTTGATCATCAGAACCAAATGGAATATATTGAATATCTATAAATATCTTAATTTCTCAGGGAATTCACTCTTAACAAATCTAAATTGTTATCGCATCCATGGAACTCAATAAGTCTCTGAATTTTCAGCTAGAGACAAAACTGTGCATAGCCACCACATATTTTACAGACAGGCGGTCTTTATATGGAGGTTGAGTAATTAATTTGTGAATAGAAAGTTGACAAAAATTTTTTTTTTTAATATTTCAGGATGATAGGAAAATAGAATGTGTCTTTTTGTCCTAATCAAATTGTCAAACACTAAATGTGCAATCATGGTTACTGTGGGCGGGTGTTTTTATATAAAGGTGAATACACTTAGGAATCCTTGGTTTGGAAATACTGGCATTCAATTATAATGAGCACATGTAACTTGAAAACTAAGAATCTTCAACTAATTAACATGATAAGTACAGTATATTGTGGCACACTCACCCAAAACTTCCTGAATTGACAAGTTTCCAGTAAATCATGTAGATAGAGCACTTTCATAATCTGATCCTCGCCTTGCTAGATGTCGGCAGTCAAGGAAATTAACAAGAGTAATATGAAAATCGACACAGCTAATGCACTTTTGACACTGAAATTTTCTGTAATGTTATTTTCTGTGACTAGATATTTGGAAGTCAAGAGAAAAACTGGAATTATGAACATGCATTTTGACTAACTATCTAAATAACCATTAAAATTTATTATTAAATTATCAAATTACAACCTAATATCAACATGTGACTGAATATCGTCAAAACTGACATTGAATTATCGGTAGTACTTGTCACAGTATTATAGATTTAATGACAGAAATCATGTTTTGTTGTTTTTTTTGTTTGTTTTTTAAATCAGCTTTTAGTCTGTTTGTCAATAGGCCATAGCTTCTAATGCTTGATATACAAGGTTTTTGTATGACATAAAGTCTCCAGGGTGTTCTGAGTCAGATTCTGAATGAGGCTACTCTGTTACCATTAGCAATTTTCCTAATTTGCATAAATCCAAAATGACTGTCATGTACACTGCTTAGGACAACTCCATATTGTCTGATTTTTCATATGTTGGTTTTTGGTTACTTCTACTTTAAATCAATCTTTTCGATAAAAATGTAAATTACATACAATTTTGATCAATTTATGCAAACTCAGGGCAGAGTAACCCAAAATGGTAAATTTTAACATTATTTTCCAGCACAAAAAAACTTATCCTAAAATTTCGGTTCTGGGAGGGTTTTGGTGGTAGGGAT